GCTCTACCACTGAGCCACCTTCCCAGCCCCAGTCTTCTCATCTTTTAAAGGAACAAATAATAGTGCCTATTATTTTTTTTTTTTAGGCTTACTATGAGGCTTAGGTGATGGAGTGCGTTGGGGTGGGAAGAGAGGAGAGAGAAAACAGTAACAATCAGTTTTAAAAGTTACAATTAATGCTATCTATAAACTAAAACTTTTATAATTTTTCTGGATATTTTCCCAAGCATATGTTGGGCAAAGTACAAATAATGTACTTATTTTCAAAGTTTTATGTTGTATTTTCTATGATTCCAAATGGCATCTCTCCATTGCTATTCTGTAGATTCTCCATATACATATGATACAGCAGAAAAACCCCACACATTTCCACTTAAAAATTGTTTTTCAGAGCCTATGTGACAAGTTGAGTGATGTCTAAAGCCAAAAGTTAGTCTAAATTTTTGTATGTGTTCATTTAACAGCAATTTAAAAGTACTTGGAATACCAATCTATTGCTCATTGCTCTGATGATGTAAAATGTAGGTGGAAAGGAGCAACTAAATATAAGAACAGAGGATTTTCATAAGTTTCTACACTAAAATTGTATTAGGAGCCAGGAACAATTATCTCCGGTTCACTGTGAAAACGCTAGAGAGGTTTAATAGCTCTGTACAAGTTAATACACAGTCACTCTGGAAACAGCTGAAATCCTAGGTTGCATTAATAAAAATGGTTATATAAACTATGGGAATTGATAGTCTTGGCATAATACTGTTTCTTGGCATAATACTTTAAAAAGGATAAAGAAGGGCTAAAGCTCATTCTAAGTAGAACGATAAGAATCTAATAGGAAAATGAAGTCCTACCATATAGAAGGAGTAGAAGAGAGACTTAGCTGGCCTCAGAAGGACCAGTTGTGGAATAGAATCCAAGTGTGCAAAACTCCTCTGCTTTTTTGTTTTTATTCTCCATCTCTTTGCAACAGAAAGCTGCCCTTTCAACTCCAGAACTGAGAGTAGATTTTCTGAGCTGGGGGCCTTGAGCCTAGGAAGTTACTACTGCATGCCATATGTTTGATTAGGTAAGAAGATTGAGGTAAACACCTGTTGTAAAAAATGGTATTTTTCCAGAGTCAGAACTACCTTATGAAGTCTGAAATTTAGATATCTCTAGACTATAAACACTGAGTGAAGAGAATAGCACTTAATACCAGGTGTTCAAATGATAATCAATCCCTTGTGAGGGCCAAAAAGATCTTATCTTCCTTCTCCCCTGGCTGTCTATGGCAGAGAGAATCAAAACACAGTGGTGTCTTTTCTGTAATCACCCAAGTGTTTCCCCCGACCTTTTTTTTCCTGTCAGTCATAGGTCTTGAACTCAGGGCCTGAGCACTGTCACTGAGCTTTTTAGCTCAAGGCTAGTAGTATTCTACCACTTTGAGCCACATCTGGTCTGGAGCTTGAAATCAGGGCCTGAGTGTATGTTTTTCACCACTAGTCCTCTACCAATTATAGCTTGTCTCTCTCTCTCTCTCTCTCCCCCTCCCTCTCTCTCTCTGTGTCTCTCTCTCCTTGTGTTGCTTGAACTCAGGGCCTGCCTCCTTAGTAGCTAGGATTACAGTCATGAGCTGCCATTGGTGCCCAGACTGTTTTCTGTTTGTTTTGTTTGGTACCAGAGTTTGAACTTGAAGCTTCACCACTTCAGTCTCTGTGTTATCACTCAGGGCTTCATGTTTGTTAGGCTTAGGTGTTCACCACTTGCACCACATCTCCAGCCAACCTTTCTGCTGTTCTTTTAGAGACGGAGTTTAGTAGACTGTTCTGCTTGGGATGTCTTTGAATCATTGCTGTTCTGGATCTTTAGCCTCCTGAGTAGCTAGGATTATAGGAGTAAGCCACTGGTTTTTGACTCTACTTTAGTTTTACTCTACTTTAGGACTTCTCACATCTGATAGACAGCTAAGATACAGATTCTTTACTGAGAAATCCCAATATAGACAGTTTACAGGTGGTCTAGCCAGTTACCTTAACAGTGGTATCAGAGGAATTTTTTTTTTTAAGCTTGACAATCTGCTGAGATATGTGGGAGCTCAGTCCTCTCTTATTCAGATGGCCGACATAAAAAAAGAGAGACATTTCTGCCGTTTATGTTGGCAACTAAGAAGGTGGATTTGAGGAGAGCAGGAGGGAGGAATCACCCAGGCTTTTTTTTTTTTTTACTTAGATAAGTGATTAGTAAAGACATTGTTGAAGCATGATAGGGAATAAAGGGATATTATCTTTGAACTAAATTAGGGATACACCAAATTTGAGGATATCCTGAGATTGTCCAAATGAATATATATATATATATATATATATATATATATATATATAGTAACTAATTAGATAAAAGAGTTTGAAAATCAAGGAAAACTGTTCTTTGGATTTGATAGTTAAGGATTTGATAGTTAAGGAATAGTAGGGAAAAGCCTCATTGCATTTTTTTGAAAAATAAAAGTATGACTAAAAACAATGCACAAGGAATTCCCATAGGTTGGAGGAAGAAAAACAAAATGATAATTCAGTTCTTTATAAAGGCTAGAATGTAGACTCTCCTCATAACCCCCAATTTCTTGAGCACTAGGAAGTGGAGTTTCTCAGCCTAACAAAAACGATGCTGGTTTTTAGGAACTAAGGCATGACTGGTTCAGAGGTTAACAACTCTGCTATAGGATATTAAGACATAGTTAACAGCCTACTGACATAAATATTTTTAAAAACATAAATTAATCACTTTATTCTCTTGGTTAAAATCTTTCAGTAATTTTTCTAATTTAAGTTCAAACTATTTATGGGTTTTACAGTGTTTTGTTTTTTGTGTTACACTTTATAATGTTGAGTAAGCATTTCTTTCATAAGAAGAATTTCCCAGTCCCTGAACTTGATCATTATACCTTGTCATTATACTTGTCATTATGCCTTTCCATAGCAGGTTTTAGTTTTCATATGCTTTTATTTTAATAATTTGTTAAATCCCTAGATCACAAGCTCAGAGGGATGTAACCCTGCTAGTTTGCTTCTTGTGAACTATTCAGAATTGGAAAGGACTTATACTCTTGGAAATTTAGGTTTCCTGTCACTGGTAGGGTCTATGTGTAGTTTGAGTGGCTCCAGGTTGGAAATGGGAAGCCAATAAACCCTTTGCAGTGAGACTAGTTTTCCAAATAGTAAAGTACAAATGCATTGCTGCTCTACAGGATTCTGTAAGGTAATGTAAAAGAATCTCATCTAATTGAAAATAAAAAATACTCAGCAACTAATGGCATAAAGAGAGCCCAAGGGATATTACTAACTTAGAATATTATTAGAATTGGAATTTAAAACTTGATGTTATGTTTTGTATTTCTTGTAGGTGAAATGAATCAGAAATACAAGGAGCTTAAGAAAAGAGAGGAAAATATGGATGGTAAGTGATAATCTTATAAAAATACATTTTCACATTGCTATTCATTTATACCAAATCAAGGATTTTGTTTTGTGATAATACAATGGCTTAAACACAAAAGTATGGACTTTCAAAATATTTTGAAGAATAAATGTCATAATTTAGGATTGCTTAGAGAATGTTAAAGAGGTCTATATGCTTGTGTTTGTTTATTGCAGATAGTTTTTAAAACTTGTACTTACATTCATAGTTTACATAGAAGGGATCCTCAGCCCTTTCTTTCTTTTTCTTTTTCTATTTTTTTTGGCCGGTCATGGGGCCTGAACTCTGGGTCTGGGTGCTGTCCCTCAGCTCTTAAACTCAAGGCTAGCTAGTACTCTATCACTTGAGCCACAGTGCCATTTCTGGCTTTTTCTGCTTATGTGGTGCTGAGGAATCGAACCCAGGGCCTCACGCATGCAAGACAAACACTCTACGGCTGAGCCAACCCTTTCTTTTTTTTCTTTTAAACACTCTGTCTATGCAGCTTTAGTTAGTGGCCTTCAACTTGGGATCCTTCAACTTTTGCTGCCCAAGTGCTGGAATTATAAACATGTACACCCATACCTTGCCCAGTCTACTAATTGACTAACTGTTGAATTTTTATTAATTACTTCATGGTATTCACCTTTAGTGTCTTAAAATTGTTTTTTAGCTTTTGATAGTACTTACCTTATTGCCTTATTGTTCATTAGCCTTAACATCTTGTTCTTGCTACTTGAAACCATCATCATCTGTAACTTTAGTGGCCTTTGTTAGATTTTTTTTTTTATAGGTTGTGGGGCCTGAACTCTGGGCCTGGGCGCTGTCCCTCAGCTCTTCAGCTCGAGGCTAGCGCTCTACCACTTGAGCCACAGCACCACTTCTGGCTTTTTCTGCTTATGTGGTGCTGAAGAATTGAACCCAGGGCTTCATGCATGCGAGGCAAGCACTCTACCACTGAGCCACCTTCTCAGCCTACTTTGTTAGATTTTTTTTCATTTATTTTTTTCTCAACATTATAAATAGATCCTTACCTAAATATGTTATTCATTTATACTTTTAAAAATTAGCACACATGGGCTGGGAAGGTGGCTCAGTGGTAGAGCACTTGCCTTGCATGCATGAGGCCCTGGGTTTGATTCCTCAGCACCACATAAGCAAAAAGAAAAAA